GGGCTTAGGGTTAATATGGAAGAAGCAGAAAAAATGAGACAAAAGGATAGAGTAGAAACAGACACAGGCAGCCTGAGCCTACTCATCTTTGAGGTGTGGTGACCTGGAGAAGCTGAATTTCGCCATGGAGCTAACCACATGCACCTGCCTCGTGCTGTTATGTTATCATCGTTGTTGTCATTATTGGCACCAAAGAACAGAAAACCTGTCTTGAGGAAGATGAGACATCCCTGTCACTCTGTTGGAGTTGCAGATTATGAAACTGCACTGTAGAGATTTACATAGATGCATTTATAGAAAACACCCAGAGTGAAACAGGAGATGAGTCTGCCTCACACCTGCAGAGGGAAAGGATCTGTACACTGGACTGGATGGTTTGAGGCTCTGTGGTTACTTTGTTTTCATTGTAAAGACTGGTTTTCTCTAAGAGGGAGATGGAAAATTATTAACAGGTTTTGAATAGATCAGTAATATAATTTGATTTACTTTTTTTTTCTTTCTTTTTCTTTTTTCTTTTCTTTCTTTTTTTTTTTTTTTTTGAGATTTTTGCCATATGATGCATGCACTCACCAGAGAAGAGACAGACAGAGGGAAAGTGAAAAATCAGTGCCCAAAGGGGATGACCATACCACAATCCTTTCTCCTCCATTCTTCTCTCAGAATTTTGGGCACTGATACACATGTACCCAGTGTGAGTTTCAAGCCACTGGGTCTAGGACTTGAACCATAGGAGGCCATGTGGAAGTCCAGTGCCTTAACTACACCTACTGATTCTAATTTGACTTTTAAAAGGTATCACTCTAGTAGTTGTACTGAGACAAAATATAGACGAGCAAAGACAACACTAGGGAGGTGTGCTAAGTGAATTCAGGTAATAGTTCAGCAGTTTGGACCGGCTGGTCATGGAGGATGGCAAACGTGATAGATTTCTAGATATGCTGTGAAAGACAGTTCATTGGGATGTATTGCTGGATTGGATTTGGACTGTGAGAGAAAGCGATGAAATGCAGCTGATCCCAATGTGTCCTGAGCTGCTGGAGGAAGACCATGAGTGGCCATGTCCTGTGATAAAGATATGGGGTGGGTGGGCAGGGTACAAGTGAAAGATCAAGCATTCCTAGAAATAAATGGATAGACCATGAAGTGACTAGATAAAGGATCTTCAAAGGGTTCATAGAAAATATGTATTATGAAAAAGCTACGCGTGGATTTCAAGAATGTTTTACAATAAAATAAACTTACACTTTAATTCCAATTTTATCGTGACCTTTTTGAAGTACCCTTGTGTATAGACAGGTATGCATCTTTGTTAAATTCCAGACTATCAGTCATCCAAATGAAGAAAGTGAGTAGCCAGTGCGATAACTGGGACACAGGAAACAGTAGATTAGAGCTACAGCAATACATGTGTGAGTCATCATCATATAAATAACATTAAAAACCATGAGATTAGGTGAGGTCAGCAAGGGAGTGAATGCAAATAAAAAAGATAAGAAGCTTGGGAACCAGCAGTTAGCATAATGGCTATGTTGCTGGACTCCCACGTAGTCGACCGCGGTTCGCGTCCCAGACCGGGTGGCTTAAAACGCACGCCGGGTGCATGTGCGTGCGTGCCCAAGATCCCGAGAGGAGAATGGAGGAGAAGGGATTGTGGCATGGCCACCCCCCCGGGGGTGATTTCTCGCTTTCTGTCTGTCTGTCTCTGTCTGTCTGGCGAGCACATGTGCCCTATAACCAAAACGTCTAAAAAAATTTAAAAAAAAAAAGCTTGTGTGTAGCAAATGAAACAATAAGTAGCATGAAGAGACAGCCCACAGATTGGGAGAAAATATTGGCAAACTACGCTTCAAATAAGGGATTGTTAACATGAAGGGAACTCAAGCAGCTCATCTGCAGAAAATAAATAATAATCCAATTTTTTAAATGAGCAAATAGGGATCAGCAGATGGCATAAAGGTTATGTCACTGGACTCCCATGTAGTTGACTGCTGTTCAAATCCTGGGCCCAGTACACGTGTATGTGCATGCCCAAGATCCCAAGAGGAGAATGGAGGAGAAGGGATTGTGGCATGGCCATCCCCGCTGGGGATAAGGTGGGGTGGGGTGGGGGTCACTTTCTGTCTCTCTGTTGCTCTCCTGTGAGCACTTTCTGGTACCCTATAGCAAAAATCTCTCTCTCTAAAAAACTGAGCAAATAAACTGAACAGATAAGTCTCTAAGGGAGATATGCCAATGGCCAAAAAGCATGTTTTAAAAATATTTAATTTCTCTTATCATAAAGGAAATGCAAATCAAAATCACAATGAAATATCACTTAACATCAATCAGAATTGCTATGATCAATAAAACAAACAATGACAAATGCTGGCAAGGCTGGGGTGAAAAGGGAACTATACTGTTGGAGAAAATGTAAATTAGTACAGACACTGTGGAAAACAGTATGGAGGTTTCTCAAAATCTACATATGACCCAGTAATCCCACTCCTTGATATTTACTCAAAACACTTCATTGAAAAAACACTTGCACTTCTATGTTTATTGCAGCATTATTGGTAATTGCTAAGACATAGAATCAACCTACGTGCCCAACCACTGTTGACTGAATTGAAAGAATGTGGCACATATACAGGATGGAATACTACTCAGACATAAAGAACAGTGAGTCTGCCATTTGATAAAAAATAGATGAAAAAAGAAGGTTTAATGCTAAGTGAAATAAATTTGACTATGAAAGACAAAAATTCTGTATCCCTCCTCAATATATACTGAACGGTTGCACTCTATAACAGAAATTGAAAGATTCAAAGACATAATAGTGGGCAGGGCAAGTGTAGATACCCGAGTCTGTAAGGGAGGAGATTGAATAATGGAGTTGGGGGCAGGGGGTGAGAGTGGCTCAGCTAAAATGCATTTAATAGATTCAAGAATGTAATGTTCTTTGTTTAAAATGATGTATATGGTATTATCCTTGACTTGATTATTACACATACATGCATGCTTTGACAAACAATATTGTATGCCATAAAGATGTACAACAATTAAATGTTAACAAGAAATTGTATTTTAAAAAGAACAGTATGGAGTTCTTTACTGTTATGTCTAAGACCATGAAAAGACACTAAATAAGACTTAAGTGGAATAAAACAGGGAGGAGAGGAAGAGACACAAGTTATAAATGTATGTCCTGTGATTATAACTCTAAAATAAAGCATCTGTAAAAAAAGATGGAAATAAAATATTATTAGATAAGAGGTAACATGTTTAGAGTAATCAGATTATAATATGTGTTTCCTTTTCAAATTGAATATAGTATAATTGCATTACTTTTATAATTTGATAAAGTTGTTCCTTCCACAGGAGGCACAACCATGCCTTCCTCCTGGCCATCTGCAGGCCCGGGTGAGGGCTTGGGTCCCTTACTCACATCTCACATGGAGGTTACTAATACCTCCATATTACTATAGGGGGTGATACGGCCTCCTGGGACACCTTCTTCTTTAACCTTCTATTTGTTGGCTCTCAAAGTGTGTCCTTGGGACTTTCAAAACAACCTGGGACAGGGCCGAGAGATTTACATTCTATAAAGTTCGTGAGTCATTGATGTTTACACCAAAATATGGAGAAAGTTTAATTTTTCTACTCTAAACCTCAAAATCAGATAAGGATTTCCATAATCATATTACTTCTTGAAATAGCTTCATGTATATGTGTGTGGGCATCTTTTTGTGTTGTTTTAATTGCCAGAAGGTACTTGTGCTTGCCAGAGACACAGAGAGAGAGGGGGAAGTTGAAGGAGAAAGCACCTCCCAAGGGGACTGTCGGCGTCTGCCCCAGGGCTTGGGTCTGGCTGAATCATGATCAGAGGGCTGCTGGTGAGGAAGAGAAAGAGGACGAGAAAGAGAAAGCCCTCCATCTTGCCAGGACCTGGGAATTGGAAAGAATGAGACAAAGGGATAGAGTAGAAACAGACACAGGCAGCCTGAGCCTAGGTAGCCCAAGCAACTTGTCCCGCCCAGATGAACTGGATGTCTTTATTTATAGTACAAGGAGACATTACACATGTATGTTTCATGACACTTCATGGATTAGTTGTCAGGTTACAGACAATGAGAAGCAGTTAACAAATCTATAAGGGATTAGTCATACCAGGGGCAAGGTGTATCCCTTGGTGGTAATCCCATCTAGAGTTAATCTCCCTTTCTAATGCAGAGAACTAGCTGTTAGGTGTGGGGAAGGAGCTAAAGAACTTCTCCATAAGTAGTGTACCGCCACACCCAGAGAAGTCTAAAGAACCTTTCAGATGCAGAGCAGGGATTGGACTTCACTAATTGGGGTCAAGATGTTTCTTGAAGTCCATCAGATGTGTCTGTTGGAACGCCCCTAGTAATTTCCACTCTTGCTCTGTGGGCAGCCAAGGTCAGGGAAAGACAAGTTACAAGGTTCTGTCAAACCCCAAAAGAGCATGTGGTGTTTGCTCAGAGCATGTCCCCACACCTCAGACTCTCTCTCTTAAACGTGTCCCCACACGATAGGTCATTAAATGATGTGGAAATCCCTGGCTAAAGAGTAATGCATACAGTACCTGTACCCAAAACTTAAAGTCCAATAAGAAAGATAAGACATTCTTACTCAACTATTTAAAAACCAAGATTATACTTAAAGGGGACACAGAAGATGTACTCCCAAACTATATTATCCATCTGTCCATTTAATTTAAAATTCTATACTCCATTCATATAACAGAACTGACTAGCTAGAAACAACTTTTAAGGTTATTATATTTCTCAGTGACTGCTCACCAGAGAGATACCCAGGAACTGCACTCCTGCCTCCTTTCTAGAGCAATCACTCAAAAGTGTATAAAATTACCCCATAGTATTAGAAATACGTTATCCAGCAGAAAGATTTTCAAATTATATACATGTTATTTTTCTATTTCTTGATTCTCTACTGAGATAACTAAATGTATTTATATGACCATTTTTATTCTCCATTTACAGTGCAAACTAGACTATCAAGCATGTGTCTTTGGAAAACACATCTCCGTCAAATGCGACGGACATTGTCCATGTCCTTCAGATAAATCCGCAAGTACAAGCAGAAATGTTAAGAGAGGTAAGTGATAAAAATGTATTTATAGTTTTATGTGGGTCTACTGTATTAAAATGTTTTACAGTAAATATTGTCATTAAATAGACAATGAAGTTTGATTCTATTTGTATGATTATAAGTAATTACTGTATCAGTGAAGTCTTAGTTTCTACTTTACACTCTTTTATAGCAAGTAATAGGTTTTCTATAGCTTTTCACTTATTTTGGTAGTAATTGTAGATGGTTCTTTCCTATATGATTGCCATTTGTAAGAAATCTAAAACAATGTCTTTGACAAGTCATTTTATCCAAAATATGTCTTTTAGATCCATTTTTTTCTTTCAGAACAAGGAACTGATCAATGATAAAGTAGGAAGTGAGTGATAAGGTAGTTTGATCACAGGTTAAACCACTCAGTGAGTTGTTACTGTTTTAAATAAATACAGCTACCATTTATATACTAACATATACCTACGTACATACTATGTATTAGGTCGCCAGGAAAGTCATGATGTATTTTTCTATTTTTCTATGCAAAAATGTATCATGACTTTCCAGATGACTATATGTATATACATACATACATATACACATATATGAATGTGTATATGTATATATAACTATGTGTGTGCACATGTAATTTTCTATGGAATAATTGCACTAACTTACTTTTGAGTAGATGAAGTTGTTACATCTTTATTTTTTTAGTGGCTTGATAGCTAATAAAATAATGAAATGCATTTAATCCAAGATGTACTATGGTATACATTTGATTTTTTGAATATTATTTGTTATAGGTTTCATGAGACTAGTGTTATGTATGTATATTTGGATATCGTCTTTGCCTTTTAAAAAGTCTCCATAGCTGCTAATTACAGTCCTCCACAGTGATAGTTAAAGAAGTACAGAAAATAGATTATTCTTTTTTAAAAAGAATTATTTATTTTATTTATTTACTTATTTTTTTTTTTTAACATAAGTTTTTGTCAGAGAAAGAGAGAGAGGGGAAGCAAGCCGCCAGGTATGGGACTCGAACCACAGTCAGCCATGTGGGAATTCCAGTGCCTTAACCACCATGCCATCTTCTGGCCCTGATGTTTCTTTTTTTTTTTTTTAAGAGAGATTTTGGCTATAGGGTGGGCATGTGTTCTCCAGAAAGACAGAGAGAGTTAGAAAGTGAGAACTCTCCCCCCTGCCCCAAGGAGACTAGACATATGGCAATCCCTTCTCCTCCAGTCTCCTCTTGAGATTTTAGGCATGCACGCACACATGCCCAGCATGTTTCAAGTCATCAGTCTGAGACTTGAACCATAGTTAGCCATGTGGGAATCCAGCGATGCAACCATTACACCATCTTCTGGACTCGAAAAGTGATGTTTCATTTTGTTTGTTTGTTTGGAGAAGTTTTTGCTATAGGGTGCGTGCACTTGCCAGACAGACAGAGAGAGACAGAGAGAAAGCGAGAAATCACCCCCCAGGGGGATGGCCACGCCGCAATCCCTTCTTCTCCATTCTCCTCTCGGGATCTTGGGCACGCACACACACGTGCCCAGCATGAGTTTTAAGCCACAGGGTCTGGGACACGAACCGCGGTCAACTACATGGGAGTCCAGCAACATACATTAACTGCTGGTTCCGAAAATTGCTGTTTCTTTAAGAGAAAAGCTATATTACAGATCACTATCATCAACAGTTAGCAAGTATATTATAACTATTTGACCATTTTAATTTAAGAATTATTATCAAGTGCCTTTTTAATCTAGAAAATTGATTTTTGCCTTTGTTTCCCTGAAAAAATAAGATGAAGGATATGCAGATAGGGATAAATATATGTGAAATGTATTTAATATAAACTGCCTTATTTTCTTGAATATGGTATACTTGCTCCTCCAAGTCATAATGCCATAGCAAATATTTTGACAGATATAACTTCTGAACTTCACTTATATTTCATATATTAGTCATTACTCATTAATTTTTAAGATAAAAATTTTAAATAAAATTATATCACTGCCTTTAATAAAGCAACTAGTCATTTTTATTATTACATTATTGAATTTGAAAATTAATGGGGCCAGCCAGTGGTGTGCTAATTAAGGCAGCTGGATTCCACAAGGCTGACTGCAAGGTTTGAGTCCCAGACCAGTGGCTTGAAAAACACACTTAGCAAGGGAACCAGCAGTTAGCATAACGGCTATGTCGCTGGATTCCCACGTAGTCGACCGTGGTTTGTGTCCCGGACCCGGTGGCTTAAAACTCACGCCGGGCGCGTGTGCGTGCGTGCCCAAGATCCCGGGAGGAGAAGGGATTGCGGCGTGACCATCCCCCCTGGGGGGTGATTTCTCGCTTTCTGTCTCTATGTCTCTCTCTGTCTGTCTGGCAAGCGCCCGCGCCCTACAGTGAAAATCTCTCCAAAAAAAAAAACACACTTAGCAAGTGGGCATGTGTGCCCAAAATCCCGAAAGGAGGGAGAAATGGAGAAGGAACTATAGCGTGCCCATGCTCCATGTTGGGTGCCTTCTCATTTTCTTGCTCTAGTTCTCCTTCTATCTCTTTTCAGTGAGTGTGCCCACCCTCTAGCGATGGTAACGTAGTGCTGTAATATTAAGCCATGTGCAGAATGACACTAGCTGGTGAAAGAAAGCTGCTGCGGTGCCTTCCAGCAGCCCAGTTCTGTTCTCAGTTTTGTTTGTTGGTTTTCCAGAGAGATTTTTACTATAGAGCACGTGCACTCACCTGAGAGACAGAGAAGTAGAGAGACAGAAAGAGAAATCACCCCCAGGTGGTATAGTCACATCATAATCCCTTCACTTTGTCTTCCTCCCAGGATTTTGGGCACGCAAGTACACGTGCCTAGCATTAGTTTTAAGCCATCGGGTCTGGGACTCATACCGTGGTCAACTTCAGTGATGTGACCATTTTGCCATCTGCTGGTCCCGCAGGAGCCCAGTTCTTTAAGCTTCATCCTTGCTGCCTCATACCAGTCTGGGCTCAGCTTTAGACCTGGGTTCCCTCTGCAATCTCTAGCTCCCTTACCTATTCTCACCAACATAGCAAAAGAAGAACTTTTAAACCTACCTTGAATATATCAGGGAGACTACAAAGAAATCAAGAGCCTATTACAGTTATTTTGAAATTGAGGCTCTGAGACTTTCCTCATCCTCAATTTCTTTTCTTTTTATTTTATTTATTTATTTTTTGAGAGGTTTTTGCTATAGGGCACATGCGCTTGCCAGAAAGATAGAGATAAAAAGCGAGAAATCACCCCCCAAGAAGGATGGCCGAGCCACAATCCCTTTTCCTCCATTCTCCTCTCAGGATCTTGGACACGTACGCACACCACCCAATGTGAGTTTAAAACACCCGGTCCAGGACTTGAACTGTGGTTGACTACATGGGGTCCAGTGACATAGCCATTATGCCAACTGCTGGTCCCCAATTTCTTTAAATATATTTTCATAACTGAAATAAACATACAATTTAGGGGCTAGGCCATTGCCTAGTTGTTAAGAGTGGGATATCACCACTGCATAGTTCAAGTCCCAGATTCATGACTTGAGAAATGCTCCAGACATGTGTGAACACATGCCCCAAATTCTGAAAGGAGAGCGAGATAGAGGTGAAGGGGTTCGCACTGTGACTGTTCCCCGTGGGGGAACATAGAGATGCTTTCTTCTCCCTAGCCTTCCTCCCATTGGAGTTCTCTCCAGTGAGCTCGTGCCATACTGGCAAATTAAATATATATATATATATATATATACACACACACACACACACACACACATATATATATCTTAATACTCTTAATACTTTTTTTCTGAAAATTGCTTCAGGTATGAAATAAATTCAACCATGTTTAACTTTTTCTTATCCTTTACTGGAGTCAAAGAACATCTAAGGAGTAGTCATAATTAGTGGACACCTCTAATACATCCCAGATTTCCCTCGAATAAGATTTCTTGACTTTAACTGACTTTTGAATGAGAAGACATGTTTTATGTGGTACCAGTTGATCATAATCTCCACAAACCGCGAAAGGAACTCAATATGCATTAAACATGCAAGGTACCACATCTGAGAAGAGGAGCCCCTGTGTATAAACAATAATTATGTTTTATGTTTCTCTAATTTTCTGTACAGTGTTTATATTAATGTGTCAAGAAGGAAACTTTTCTTAAATTCATATCATCAGGGGATAAAGATCATTTGTGTTCAATTGTGCGTAGAAAGAGAAGGAGAATTTAAACTAATCCTGCTCTGATAGATGTCAGGGCAAAGCGAGTACAGCATTTTGCTAGCTGCTATGGAAAAGCAGTGCAGAAAATTTTGAATGTCATTTCTACCTAGTGCCAAAGGCTGAGAGACAAGGGAAATGTAAAACTGAGTGCAGTATCGCTTCTAATCTTTCAGCTGCCATTTATATTAGTAGCATACCTTGGGTAGACTATGTCTTATAGGAACTGCGACTTAATTTTCTATCTAGAAAAAGTGAAGAAGAAACTACCAACAATGAAATATGTCTAAAATTTTTCTGAACTCCTACATTTGAGGTCAAATTGACACGATTGTATGTTTTCACTATGTGAAATAAATCTACTTGAAATATATTAAAACTAATAAAAATAGATTTTCATTATAAACAAGGAGAAAGTTAAGTTCTCCTCTATTCCCTAAAGTATTCAGTAATAGATATGTAGAAAGTGATTCAAGTATATACATGCAAGTATCCTAAATAAAGAAAAGCAGATAATAGATGATTTCCATTTTTGAAAATCTTGGATTCCAACTTTCCTAAGTAGATAAGCATACTTCTATTCAATCAGCAACTTAATTATATAGTTTTCTGATTTTCTAACTTATAAAATCATGATTACAAAGGCTGGTGCTTCTGGGTTCCTTAAAAAATATTCCTTCCTTTTTTCCTTCTTACATTTTTTTAAAATTCACTGTTCCATCATACACATACATACAGAGTATCACTCTGGGAAGATAGGCCAACTTTATTAAAATAATGTTGACATTTC